AAAAGCACTGATTTCTTACAGTAGGAAGTCAGTGCTTTTGCGGAAATTCAAGCGGCCAGTGTAGACAGCTGGCAAGGTTTTCTGGAAAAGCGGCTGATTTTCCCGAAAAACTGGCCAGTCTAGACAAAGCCTTTGAGTTTAGTGTTGTCCCTATATGGATTTTTTCCTATTTCCCCAAATTGTGTCTGTTAGACAATTTGGGCTCCCATTATTTGATTCGGTCAACAAACACTAATTTATATGTGTCTGGCTCTTTTTACAGGACAAAACCTTCTGGCCATGAAAGAAGCTTTCACATTTCTTCACTGAGGGCACGTCTACACATCAGGGCAAAAGTCGACTTAAGCTACGTAACTTCAGTTATGTCAATTGCATAGCTGAAGTTGAAATAGCTTAATTCGGCTTTAGGCTCTGTCTACACAGCAGGAAGTTGCAGGAAGAACACTCTTCCTTCAACTTTCCTTACTCCTTGTAAAATGAGTGTTACAGGAGTTGGAGTAAGAAGTCCTCCAGCTCAACATTATTTTGAAATAACAGCTTGCTGTGTAGACACGCTCTTTGTTATTTCAAAATAACGTCAGTTATTCTGAAATAACACTGCTGTGTACACATACCCTGACAGGGCTTGTAGCACAATGGGGCTTTGCTGCTGCTGTTAACAAAATCTTAGGGTATCTAGCATAAACCACCTTTGTCAGTTTTTTTAAGCACACTGGGTACGTCTAGACTACAGCCTTTTGTCGACAGAAGTTTTGTCGACAGATACTGTTGACAAAGCTTCTGTCGACAAAGAGCGCTTAGACTGCATCCAGTTCTGTTGACAAAGCAAGCCGCTTTGTCGACATGAGAGTGTAGACGCAAAGGACAGTGTAGATGCAATAACGCCTTCTGTCGACAGAACTCCATCGACAAAAGCGTTATGCCTCGTAGAATGAGGTTTACCGCTGTCGACAAAACTGCCGAGTTCTGTTGACGTTATGTCGACAGAACACGGCTGTAGTGTAGACTCAGGTATAGTTTTGTTGACAGAAGTCCACTTTTGTCGACAAAACCCTGTAGTCTAGACACACCCACTCTCCCTACGTCCCTGGCACTTATTTTGTTAGGTTAAAAAAACAGGATTTAGCTTTTTCTTCCTCTGTTGCATGCCACATCCAAAATGTATTCAATCGTCTTCTACTTTTCTTTCCTGTTGTGAGTTGCATGACAACATTGTTCAGTGATAATCCGCTTAATGACAGAACAATGGAAGTAATATCTCCCACCCCAAATTGAGTTCCAGGTGCTTACACAACATAGCCTCATGCAAATACCTTCTTCGCTTTTCTTCTGCTGTGTAAAAACAGCCCTCTAAACATTCCTTGAAACTGGTATGCTATTTGAGCTCCTTGATATCTGATCCCGCTGACCGCTCCCTACCCGCCCATCCATGCCCTGTGGATGTCAGACTTTCTAGTGAAAACAGCTTGCAAATCTCTCTTGTTGTATTTTACTCACGTCTTATATTTCACCAGATCAGGTTTATTAACTCTAATGCCAGAGAGGAATGTTGAAATCTCCAGCTGCGTGTGTTTAGTAATTTATCGTATTTACACTGGCGGGTACATGGCTCCAGTAATAACTGTAATTAATAAAATTATAAATCTGCTCTCCTGAACGTAGGATAGTGTGTAATAGCAACCAACTTGACAAATGAGTAGCATTCATTGTCCCTGGCCCACCTTGCCTCCCCCCCCCCCCCCCCCCAAAAACACTTTTTTTAAAAAGAGAAAAAATATTCAGAGCCAATGCTGGTGAGAATACATATGAGACCCAGGTCACATGCATGGAGATGTTGAAGCCCAGTACTGGGAAGCTAGGGGAGTTCAGAGCCTAGCTTTATCCAAGCAGTTCTGAACTATCCATTTTTGGGAGCGGGGCAGGGGGGCGGGGGCATAATATCATGATCTCTGTGTATGGATTCCTTGGGTCCCTTTCCTAAAAGCTATCTTACCCATATTGGCACTATTCAACAGGTGTGGGAAAATTGCTGACTTCATTGGTTATTTTGTACTTTGTATTTTGGCTTTGTATTAGCTTGATTATTAGAGTTGGGCCTAAGTTGCAGAAGTAAAATGTGGATTAGAAGCCCCAGCTTTCTAACTTCTCCAATTCAGCGCGTAGAGAGAGACACCAGATTTGGATCTGGGAACAACTTCCCTACTTTTTTTTTTGGTGGTGTGTGTGTTCTAGTTCAGAGCTCTCTCTCAGGCTATGTCTACACTACAGAGTTTTTTTTTTTGAAAAACTTAACTTATGTCCATGCTGCAGTCATGTTCTTTTGAAAAAAAAATTGAAAGAACAAAAGGGTTTTTCTGACATTGGTAAACCTCATTCTACGAGGAAGAAGGCTTTTTGCCTTTGGGGCAGAGGGAGTTCTTTCTCAAGAAGAGGAAAGAGGAAAAAGCACAGGTGCCCTGGTGGCCACTCCATCCATAGTAATCACAGCTTACATGCGAGATGGTGTCCATTCAGTGTGGATGCTATCTTTCAAAAAAGCAGATTGCTTTTTCAATGTGCTTTTGCAGTGTGGACACTCTCTTTCAGAAGAAGTTTTTTCAGAAGATCTCTTCCGGAAAAGCTTCTTCCAAAAGAAGCCTGCAGTCTAGATGTAGCCTCAGTGACAATGAGGGGACCCATTTGTGCCAGTTTTGCTCCTCAGAGGGTCACTTCAGGGGCTGGTATACAACAAGGTGCTGCATCTTTATTGCTGGGAATCAACAGCTTTGAGAGCACTGGTCACTCCCTCCTGAATGAGTATGGAATAGTCAGGCTCCCTTGTTCTGTTAGATGCTGTACAAAAGGGCCATGTTTTGCCTGTTGAAATCTGTGTTCATTATGTGCTGTGAAACTCAAACTCAGCTTTTCTTTTCTCTTCTATTTCCAGTTTGACAAGTACGCTCCCAAATTAGACAACCCTTACTTTCGACATTCCAATGTGAGTGCTCATGTTTCTAGGCCATTCTGCTGTTTATGCTTCTGCTTGCCACTGCATTTCTTGAATGTCTTTAATACAGACAGGAGTTTAGATTCATCTGTTCATAAAGTGTTCCTGTTCTTGTCTGAATGTTTTTTAAATGTAAAATCTTGGTACTTTTCAACTTTGCATTCTGCATTGTTGTTGCTGTACCTTTAGATTGCTGAACCTGGGTCGGTGGGGAGAGATTTCTAAGAGTATGTCTACACTAGCCCCCTAGTTCGAACTAGGGAGGCTAATGTAGGCATTCGAAGTTGCAAATGAAGCCCAGGATTTAAATATCCCGGGCTTTATTTTCATCTTCCCGTCCGGGCGCCATTTTTAAATCCCCTTAGTCCGAACTAACTGCCCGCGGCTACACGCAGCAGTCAAATGTTAACTCGAACTAAATCCTTAGTTCAAGTTAACTGTTACACCTCATTCCATGAGTAAGGACTTAGTTCGAGTTAACGTTTGACTGCCGCGTGTAGCCATGGGCAGTTAGTTTGGACTTATTGCAATCAGAGGACATGGTCCTTTCATAACATTTTGATCAGGTCACAAGACAAAGGGTACATCTACATGGCAATAAAAGCCAGCTGATTCAGGCTCACAGGGCTCAGGTGGCAGGGCTAAAAATTGCAGCATAGATCTTCAGTCTCTCTCAGGGTGTGTCTAGACTACAAGGTTTTTTGGAAAAAAATGGCCGCCACTGCATCCTTTCGATTTAATAATTTAAAGATCATTAAATTGAAAGAACGCAGCAGTTTTTTCAACCGTGGTAAACCTCATTTTACGAGGACTACCCCCTTTTTTCGGAAGTGCTCTTTCGAAAAAAGGTACTCTTGAATGCAAACAGGGCTTTTTCAAAAGACAGCATCCAGACTGCCTGGGTGCTCTCTTTGGAAAAGCAGCTTGCTTTTTCAAAAGAAGTGGTTGCAGTCTAGATGCTCTCTTTCGAAAGAGGCTTGTAGTTTAGATGTAGCCTCAGGCTGGAGCATGAGTCTCAGAACCCAGGCTCTAGCATGAGACTCAGTACTGTGAGTTTTTTATTGCAGTGTAGATGTACCCAAAGTGAGACTAGTGGCCTCATCCTGCTCATTTCGCCACAGCACCAAAGCTGCATCCACTTTTGGTACTTGTTACAGTCTGTTCAGGAGAGGCCCAGGGTTCCCTGCAAGGTGCACACCTGCACAGGCACGCACCAAGAATTTCATTCCTGCCCACCCCCTCAGCAGAGCCACACAGCTGTGGCCCCAGATGCTCCTGGGGGTGGAGCTGCGTGGCAGGTGACTGCCCCCCCCAGGAGCAGCTGGGCAGCCACCACGCAGCCTGAGTGGCAGCTGCTGGAGCTGGAGCCTGGGCCACAATACTAAATATAGCACCGTGACCCCAGCTCCAGTCCCAGCACATGGGGCAGCTGCCCACTGCGTGGCCCAGCCCCTGGGAGCAACTGGGGCAATGGTGGCTGCTGGGGCTGGGACCGTAAGGGGTTTAAGGAGAACTGGGCCAGAGGGTGGTGAGGAGGTGGGCACCAGGGAGAAAGAGGGCAAAGGGGGCAGGGGCAGTAAGGGAAGGGGAGGCAACAGGAAGGTACAGGGGTAAGGTAAGGTGCAGGTGCCAGGGGATTGTGGGGTTGAAGCAGAAGGGCAGACACATGGAGGGGAAGGGAGGGGAGGACACCAGAGGGCAGAGGAGAGAGGCAGGGCAGGTAGGTAGAGGGAGGTGTTAGGAGAGAGGATGGGGAAGGGGGC